AGTGTATTCCAATAATCCACAATCACTGGAGGAGCTTAAAGACAACAAGTTTGTACTTGTTTCTTAAGTCAAAAAATGAACTTTCCTTGTACAAAATCAACTTGCTGCCTTTTTACAAGGCGAAAACAAACCTACAGTTATGACAACATCAATGCTGTTACATGCCATTAGCGAAGTACCTGTGCTAGATAACAGGTTGCAGATGTCAGATACTAAAATGGAATCCCCGATAATGCACGAGATTCTACATCATGAAGAAGCAATATCAATAACATTTTCTGATTGGTGTATATTCAATGAAAATTAAAAAATACACAAAGAAGCTATCCTTATGGGTTGTTTGGTAGTATAAAAAAAATATAAAAAACATAGTTACATTTCACTACACCGTTTACTGCGTCGTATAAATGCAAATGATGTAATTCTCATTTACAACCACTATAAACGGGAAAGGAATAGCCCTGTTTGCATCATACAACAGAAGATAAAAATGCGAAATAGGGTAAGAAAATTTCACATCGTCCGCAAGATTGAACAAGCTCGAGAATAAATTGTACAAGGTAGACTGACTATATACTTATTTCAAAGGGATATATTTTAACCGTGGATAGAGGCCAATGTGGTGATTATTGATCATCTATCGTTGATGGTTCCTTAGCCTCTTCAACCGAGATTTATAGACTTTGACCACGACCTCGCAACTCAGATTGTGCTATCGAATGGAATATGATTCGAATAGGAAACGAAATATAAGGTACAACTAGTTAAAATTCCAAAAAACAGTTTTACTCATATACAACACCCTTTATATTGGAATTTCTAAATTTTGTTTATTTGTTATATATTCGGAAAGAGCCCAAAAACTTCATTCTAAGGATATACTTTTGTTACTTTAGCAGATAATGTTGTGAGAGCTGGAAATACTGATTTTGTTCATTTTCGAGAACGGGGCTGGATACTTTATGGTCTATTAATTTTATACCCTACGATTTTATATGCGATGCATTAGTGTTCCATTTAGAAGGTCATATCACCAATGTAAACATACTTGCAGATCCGTATTAAGGTCTAACGGTAGGCGATTGCGCATCTACGTATTGAAGAAATTTTCGTTGAGGAAGTCTCAAATTTTGCGTACAGAAGATTATTACATAGCTGGAACATGACAAGCAATGTAAATGGCAACATTGGCAGGGTGGTACCCATCTAAGTGGTGTGTGACTTAATGAAGCATAGGAAGGCTGGTGGTTTCTGAATAGAACGAGTTCTCAAACTTTGAATGGGTCCAGATTGTATTTCTTTCCGCAGCAGCATCACAATCAATCGGTAGAATAAGGTAGGTGCAGATATCCAGTTTGCAAAAGATATTCAAGTTGGCTGTCAAGTTGTAGGCCCATAAAGATATGGCCAAGATCGATTAACCACCCTGTGTATTTTATTTTATCCTATCGAATTCATGATGATATTAATCAGGAAAAATATCACAATTTACTCTGCCTGAAAAACTTACTCAATAAAAATTTCTTCATTACGTGAATACGCAACCACCAACCTTCAGTTCCTAATACGGTTCTGGAAGTGCGACTTTATAGGTCTAGATGGAATAACTGATCGATAAAATGAAGTTCTTAATTTTACACTACTTCGGCGCATATAGTATTAAATACGAACTTATAAACTTAAAAGACAATAAGGTATCCAAAATAAAAAAAAAATCACTACCTGCAGCTTTCACAAAATCAACTGCTCAAATAACAAAAGCGGACTATTACAATGACGTTACTGTGCTCTTTCCAAATATATGAACGAAACTCCTACCAAAGGTTTTTATATTTTTATAAGCACCTCAGTGGCTTCTATCCACAATTAAGATTATCTCTCTCTGTCCCTCTCTCCCTCTCACTGAAACACCTTGTATAGTTGCTATCTAGCACCATGCTTCATCATTGATTTAAACTTTTTCAGTGTCCGACAGGTATCATTTTTGAAAGTTGTTCGAATCGTGTCACAATCTGAAGTCTGCATAAACAAACTCGTTATTTATGGTAGCAAATAACAAGTGTGGTCGAAATGGAGCACTGGCAAATTGGTCCCACAATATTTACCAGACCAGTAAACGGCCTTGACAGAGCATTAAGGTGTTTCGTATTCAGACCTAAGGACAGATGTACTTTCCGATCCAATTAAATGGTTCACTGTGTTATACGCAATTCCGTTTAGCAATTCCGATTCTATAATGGCAATACAAGCTCCTCTTCTTGCTAGATCGGATATCTCATTTCCCACCAATTTATGGTCAAAATTGGATGATATGCAAGTAAATTCTATTCTCCTTCTATATGTCATCGTCCGTCACTGTGGTCAATAGGACCTTTGATTTCTAGTCCTTCATCAACCAGTTCGACACATTTTGTACATGTGCATGTGGTAAAAAAGATACATATAAGACAATACATAAAAAAAGATATATATATATATATATATATATATATATATATAACTTGAGACGTGGTCATTGTCGTCTAGACCAGTTAGGTGAAAATAAAGCTTCCGCCTTTTGTTGGGTACTTCGACAAAATTTAAGCAAAGAGGACTCTTTATATTTATTAATCTCCAAAGTCCATTGAAAGCTAGCTATTAATAAAGTACTTATTAAGTAAATTCTTTTAGTCAAATTTCTTCTGAAAGTAGTACAAACTAATCTGATGTACCTATTAAAGTCTATTTTAAGCTTTAGATCAATAAATCTTCAAAACTACTGAACTGAAGCTCATGCATTTTACATCATTATAAAGGGAATTCCTTTAAAATAAGGTATCACTCGACCCCCCCTTCCATTTATGATTTTGGCTGCACGTGAATTTTTGCCAAACTTGTGTCCCCCTCGAAAACAAAATCGACGGTTATGAGCGTTTTTCCAAAAAAAAACTGAGCTGCCAGTAAATGCATCTGTTTCGTTTTCGATGCGTCACCCTGTATACAGGGTGTTTCAGTTTATTGTTGCATAACTTTAAGATTCGATAGAACTTTTAAAATTAATGCATAAAGTCTATACAAACATGGGTGTTCAAATTTACTTTCTAAAATAGTTTTTTTTAAATATTTCGAATAATATTTGATGTATGACAGTGAAAATTGGTATACAACGGTTTTTTGGTACGACAAAACAAACCATGGGCATAGGTTTACTGTAGCCGCTAGAGGGCGCTCTCTACTGTACCTGTAGTGTATTAAAATGACCGAAAAAATTTTCTTAGTGCAATTTTTTGCTTTTTGAATTAATAAAACTGATTCTTCGCACTTTTCAACATAAAAAAGCTTTTAAGTCAGCATCTCGATAATTTTTAGAAGTAGGCTGTGCCTACAAATATTTTTGAAATTGAAAGCAGAATAAGGTTAAACGTCAATAAGTTGACAGTTAGTTTTGTTGTCTGTTGAAACCTGAAACGTTTTTTTGCAATTGTGAATGCACGAAATTTAGATTCTTTTACCTGTTTTTTTTGTAAGTTTTACAAAAATGCCATTTTTATTCTCCAATCAAGAGTTAGCGGATATTTATTTTGTGTACGGCTTTGTAAATGGAAACGCAGCAGAAGCAGCCAGAGAATACGCACAAAGATTTCCAAACAGACGACATCCAACTCGCTCAGTATTTGTAAGAGTGCATCGCCAAATAATTGAAAATGGTTTTGGAAATCTCCAAAGGGATCAAAACATAAATGTTCGTCAGCGCAGATTTACCCGTATGATTCTGCGTGAGTTTGATAGAGATCCAACCACAAGTGTTAGGAGAGTTTCTGGTGCCTTAGGAATTTCAGCATGCTATGTTCACCGTGTTCTTAGAAATGACCATAGACGTCCTTACCATTTTCAACCTGTGCAAGGACTACAGCCAGGGGACGGAGAACGAAGAATCACATTTTGTCAGTGTATTCTTGACAGAACTGATAATAATAGGGAGTTTTTAAGTAACGTTTTATGGACCGATGAGTCATGCTTCACTAGACGTGGAGTGGTAAATTTTCATAATCAACATATTTGGTCGCATGAAAATCCGCATGCAGTTCGGGAAAGAAATTTTTTTCGGTAATTTTAATACACCGCAGGTACAGTAGAGAGCGCCCTCTAGCGGCGAGCGCCCTCTAGCGGCTACAGTAAAACTATGCCCATGGTTCGTTTTGTAGTACCAAAAAACCCTTGTGTACCAATTTTTACTGTTATACATCATATATTGTTCGAAATACTTCAAAAAAACTATTTTAGAAAGTAAATTTAAACACCCTGTATTTCGGAAGCCACGCATTTTTCGACCCATGTTTATATAGACTTTATGCATTAATTTTAAAAGATCTATCGAATCTTAAAGTTATGCAACAATAAACTGAAACACCCTGTATATATATATATATATATATATATATATATATTTAATAAGACTTTGTTTCTTAAATAATCTATAATCACTAATTTATTATACAGTCACTGGTGACTATTCCAATAGTGCCTTGTGAGTAATCAGCACTGACACAACATATGTAGGTACCTTCAACGCTGTCATTCATGTCAGTTCTGTGTTAAATTATGTTAGGTTTGCCTAATGCAGAATACATGATGTATTTATATTCTTGAGTTTCTTAGGCCGGTGTTCAATGTATTAATACGAGTGTTGAGCCGGCTGCTAGAAGGATTTGAGAAATCCTCTTCTGAAAGGTTATTCGGCATTCCCGATATCTTCTAAGAGCAACAAAATGATTTAAAGTTTAAACGTAATGAGTTGGAATGAAGAGCAGATCACCTTCTAGATTTAAAACAGCGGTGGCACATTGGTATCTTGGAATAATCGGCTTAAATATTGTCTGTTCACGAGACTTAGGCCTGACTAGCTCTAACTGTGGACAGTGTTGTCGAGGCTTCTCTAAGCATGAAAGTTACCTAGAACCAGCCTTATTTGGATTTAAAAGTTTATGAACATGCATCTGAAATCTACTTGTATCCATTAGTGCCTTCTATAAACCTTACCTGATGCGAGTGGTACGCCTGATGAGCTCTGTAGTAGTCGTGATAGTGCGGTTGATGTTGAACGACAGGGGGCACGGGTACGGGTTGCAGTTGCGGCGGCCCCCCATTGGCCATCATTCTGAACCTGAACGGACTGTGGACGGGACAAGCGGCTGCGGCGTTGACAGCAGCGGCCACCGCGGTCTCCGTTGCGGCACCTGGGTGATGATGATGGTGCCTGAAGGGCCCGCCCACCGGCGTAACAGGGTCAGAGCTCCTCCCGCCGGGCGGTGGCCAAGAGCCAGCCATCGCGGAGGTGGAGCCCCAGTTGCCACACCCATGATGCTGTTGCGCCGCCCCCGCTGGGTGGTGGTAATGGTACTGCTGCTGAGCCGGGTGGTCCAGCTGGCACGCGCAACAGTCGCAACGCGCCACGCCCAATGGCAACGCCGTTATCCTTGCGTTTAAGTCCTCACCAAGTTAGAGATGAATCGTGCCGGCATTTCTTTAGTACTGGGCGAGTGTTCGTCTACCGTGTGCGATCTTTTAATTTTGATTTCATTTGAGCAAACATATTTGAATAAATCTGGAAATAAGTTACTAATAATGAAGAGCATGAAGGAAATATCGGCTAGCAATCAAATTATTTATGATGTATCTATTTTTCGAGGACGTCTCTAAAATATCGAAGATTTTACCATCAAACGACGCAGTTGAAGTTAGGATATGTGCCCTCATAAATCCTACCCCTGACTATAACCGATAAAATATTCCACAGTTACTTCCTAAACCATGTAGTTAAAGCTACTCGATATAGGCTGCCTTATTCTTTTTACGTACATAATTTCCTAGTACAGAATTTGTCCTAGGAAAAAGTAACACTTTCAAAATGGTGCAAAAATGATTCTTTCTGGAGTGAATAAAGTCGACAATATACGTTTTGTGCAGGTAGTACGAATAACATAACCAATACTTCCAAAAATCTTCGTAGCCTGAATTGCAACTGGTGGCGTAAAAAACATAATATTTTGACTCCTACAGAAGACACATCTTTTGCGCGAGACTGGCTTTTTTTAAAAACGTATAGCAGTTTTGAATGGTGCATTTGTCTCTCTTTTTGAGTAGTTTGAGACAAACAGTTTTTTTGAAGAAAAAATGGATTCATATTTGAGGTGAAATCCCAACAAAAGATCTTGAATCCATTCTACTTTGGAAATACGCTCGGGTTTATAGATACATTATATGTAATATAGTCGAACATCGAAAGATAGTAATTGAATCTCATCACAGCGTTATTTCAAGAATATTGATTGATGGTGGCTACTCTGGCAAGTAATGCCGTATTGTGGTAGAAATCAAGCTTGTGTTTCTTGGTAATGATAATAGAACCTGTATTCATATGATCTTTTTATGCTATTCTTAGATGTACCTTCTAATCTATAAATACAGGGTTATCCAAATTAAGTGTCCACCATTAGTAACTTTGTTATTAGTGAAAATACAAAGTTGTTTGAATTAGCAAACTAGTAGCATTTTTAACGCTGGTAAAAATGAGAAATAAAAAAAAACAATTGAGAGTCGTTATTTTGATTTTTTTCAGTAAAATAACATTTTTTTAAATGGAAACCCCTGTATATTATATTTTTTTTCTGTTAAAGCATCAAATTTTAAACAAAAAAGCTTACAATAACTTTTCTCCTAGGTTACAAATTGTTGAAGTTATGGCCTCCAATCTGAAACAATTAAATTGTATCGACAAACTTTATTTTCAACATCAACTTATAATCTTACAAAATACAATAACAATTTTTTTTAAAGAAGATGCTCGAAAACACCACCTTGTTCTTCAATACATTTTTGGGCACGTTTTTCAACTGCTCGAACTGTCTTAAGTATGGTCCTACCATCTATCTGGGTTATCTTTTCCCTAACTGCAGTCTTTAACGCGTCAAGGTTATCGTACCTTCGCTTGTAAATTTGGTTCTTTAAGTAACCCCACAAGAAGTAATCAAGTGGGTTTAGATCTGGTGATCTGGGAGGCCACTGTATTGGGCCATTTGTTCCTATCCACTGATCATTAAAAGTAGTACTTAGAAAATGATAAGTACCTCTGGAGTTGTGGGCAGGTGCGCCATCTTGCTGAAAATGCAGATGATGTCTACTTATAAGATCCAATTCGTCTAAGAAATTAGTCAGAACTTCTGACATAAATTCCACATATCTTTCACCAGTTAGGGTTCCCTCATAAAAGAACGGGCCAACAATTTTTGAACCAATTATACCGCACCAAACGTTGAAACTGAAACGGACTTGTGGGCCTCTTGGATGTACTAACAAAAGATTTTCTCTTGACCATAATGGTGGTTTTTTCTATTAAACATTCCAGAATTTGAAAAATTTTATTCATCTGTCCATAAAAGGTAACGAAAGTTATTTACATTTTGGCGACAGAAGCTAAGATACCAATGGCAAAAAACAAGTATTCTCTCTGGATCCCCTGCCAAAAGCGTTTGAACTGGTCGGTACTTATACGGAATAAAGTTGTATTTTTTAAAATCCTTTGAACAGTACCATAACTGAAATTAGAGTCCTTGAGAATATCTGCTATTGAATTCTCACGATAAGCTTCAAAATATCCAATAACTGCAATTTCCGTGGCCTCGCTTATTATGAATTCTTTTTTTGCCCTTGTTTTAGAAAAAACATTTTCGTTGCCCCTAAATTTTCGATAAAGTCTCAGAAAATATCGTTCATACGGTTGAATGTGAGCGGGATATAATTCACTGTAGTATTCTCTTGCTCTCAAGGAGGATTTTCTGCACACTAAATAGCATTCTAACATATCACACTTTTCTTCATGGGAGAACATTTTTCTTTAAATTAATGACACAATAAAGCTTATAAACAAGTATTTACACTAATGTTTGACATTATTTGATTTTATCATTGTTTTCCAAAGCCTTCTAGTTGCGAGTATGTCCAGTTTAACAATTTGTCGCTTATCTTAATGCTGTCAAATCGCGAACGCCATGTTGTTCTCATAGCCGTCTTAATATTATAATACTGCAAATAATTAAAAATATTTATCGTTATTTTGACTTTATTTTTGACTTTTTTGTTTAAAATTTGATGCTTTAACAGAAAAAAATATAATATACAGGGGTTGCCATTTAAAAAAATGTTATTTTACTGAAAAAAATCAAAATAACGACTCTCAATTGTTTTTTTTTATTTCTCATTTTTACCAGCGTTAAAAATGCTACTAGTTTGCTAATTTAAACAACTTTGTATTTTTACTAATAACAAAGTTACCAATGGTGGACACTTAATTTGGATAACCCTGTATAGCCATTGTTTTTAACCACCCTGTGCATAAGTAAATAGATTAATGACGTCAATGGAAGGCAAAATGAGAAACTCACTATCCGTGTGATATCCGTTACAAAAAACTGCTAATACGAGTACAATTCAACGTTCCGTATTTTCTCTACGTCATAACTCTCCATTGCTAATCCAGAGAGTCTCTGCAGATTAACAACTTGAGAATTTTTTATTATCAAATTATAACAAGAATGAGCGCCAGTTGCTTTATGGATTTTCCCCGGGCAAGACGGTGCAAAAAGTTTTATTCTCAGTTTCCGTTTCCGAGGTTTTACTGAGAAAAGGCTATCTGTATCGCTGTAAATAAAAGCAGAAGAGAGTCCTGTTTAAGGCAGATTGATTTTGCTTTCTCTCTACCTGCATTTAAAAGGAAATCTTGGTATTCATGGACTCGTGTGACATTTAAATGTGGGATTATTCTCAAAGCGTACCAAGTCGTTTAAAACAATGCGACGATTCACTTCTCTGGTACGCACGTACATGCGTTTTTGGATACCTCTTAACCAAATTAGCCTGCCATATTTGTTTGTATTAATACTTTTCTCAAGTATTAAACTAGTTCGAATGCTCTTTTTGAATTTTATTTACTTGCCGAATCTAAAATGGTTAGTGCTGGCGTTTTGCTTAGAAAAGGCTATCTGTATCGCTGTAAATAAAAGCAGACGAGAGTCCTGTTTAAGGCAGATTGATTTTGCTTTCTCTTTACCTGCATTTAAAAGGAAATCTTGGTATTCATGGACTCGTGTGACATTTGAATGTGGGATTATTCTCGAAGCGTACCAAGTCGTTTAAAACAATGCGACGATTCACTTCTCTGGTACGCACGTACATGCGTTTTTGGATACCTCTTAACCAAATTAGCCTGCCATATTTATTTATATTAATACTTTTCTCAAGTATTAAAATAGTTAGAATACTCTTTTTGAATTTTATTTACTTGCCGAATCGAAAATGGTTAGTGCTGGCGTTTCGCTTAGAAAAGGCTATCTGTATCGCTGTAAATAAAAGCAGACGAGAGTCCTGTTTAAGGCAGATTGATTTTGCTTTTTCTCTACCTGCATTTAAAAGGAAATCTTGGTATTCATGGACTCGTGTGACATTTAAATGTGGGATTATTCTCAAAGCGTACCAAGTCGTTTAAAACAATGCGACGATTCACTTCTCTGGTACGCACGTACATGCGTTTTTGGATACCTCTTAACCAAATTAGCCTGCCATATTTGTTTGTATTAATACTTTTCTCAAGTATTAAACTAGTTCGAATGCTCTTTTTGAATTTTATTTACTTGGCGATTCCAAAATGGTTAGTACTGGCGTTTCGCTTAGAAAAGGGTGTCTGTATCGCTGTAAATAAAAGGAGAATAGTTGTTCAATGTGTCAAGGTAAATTGACTTTGTGTTCCTTATAGGAATTCCTGAATTTTTGGTACATGTATATAAGGGATAATTCTGGAAGCATACCAAGTCAATAGAAGATCAATGTTATACAGGGTGATTCAAAGGTCGTGACCAAAAATGAAACATCATACACAGGACCGCAATTTTCTATACAGATTTTCTAGAAATGTCTGATGGGGCATTTTTAATAGCCAACTGTTTATGCACGTATTGCCACAACGTTTAAATGCAAACTCATAGTTAGCTTTTCTTCAGAGAACTTCATAGAAAATGTGTTAGATGATGTTCAGTTAGCAACGACAGTACGAATCTGGTACCAGTACGACGGTGCTCCACCGCATGTTCGCCGCATGGTTAAAAAATCATTTTAGACAAGGATGGATTGGCAGAAACGGACTCATACATTGGCCTGTGAGGTCTCCTGATTTGAACCCCCTGGATTTCTTTTTGTGGGGCGCTTTTAAACTACTAGTGTATGCTGAACAAATTAATACTGTTGATCAATTACAAGAAAGAATAGATAATGCGCTTCATCAAGTCTTTTTGAATAGTCATTGAAATAAAGATTTTATTATCTAATTCTTTTTTTTTAGATTGATGTTAAAAAGCGTTTCGAAAAAAAAAACAGTGGTATACTATTTTTATTATGGAAAAATAATGGCACCAATCTCCAGTATCTCTACCACTGGTGCACGTTAATAAAATATGTTTTTTAAGCCCTCGAGGGAAAAATGTTACATAGCAGACCTCCCTTAAAACGCGGTCCTGTGTATGATGTTTCATTTTTGGTCACGACTTGTAAATCATCCTAATTTATTTGATATTGATTCTCATACTGCGTATAAGAAACGGAGTTCATTATTGCAAAATCTCAATAACCTGCCATATTTTTGTTATTTTGAAACAGAACAGGCAAATGTGTTTTTACTACTTCGACTTGCTTAAAAGGGAATATGTAATGGTACTCGATTTCATGGAAAATGTAAAGGCAGAATTACTTTCTAAGCATAAAAAACAATGGAAAGCGATATTATGAATTCAACGGTTTTCCGCGTAAAGAGAAGTATGTTTTGTTACCGATTACCCTCAATAACGTATTATATATTCATTAAATATCAAAAAGGTTGGTGATTTAACATTTGCCCAAATATTGTTTTTGTCTTATATTTGCCGAATCCGCATTTACCAATTCTGGGGTTTCGCTATCGGGAGTGTATGGTTAAAAACAAGACAGGGTTCTATTTAAGGCAAATTGATTTTGCTTTCTCTCTTCGTGCATTCAACAGGAAATATTGGTATTCATGAATTCGTGGGATATTTAAATGCAGGATTATGCATATACTTCAGTAATTAGTATATAAAATTGTCTGGTTTTATATTTTATTATTCATCGAGCCAACTTCGTTATTTTTGGGGTGTATCCGTATCGATGAAATCAAAAGCAGAACTGGGTTCTGTTTGAGGTAAATAGATTTTGTGTTCAACCATCCTGCACTTTAGGAATTGGTATTCATGAATTCTTGGGGGATGTAAATGTGGGATTATTGCCAAAGTAATCCAAGTCAATGGAAAACAAGATTATACAGTCCGCGTGTAAAAAACGGATGTTTTTCTCACGGCGGATTTCAGGCATAACGGGTCATCATATTACAGATGTTTCAAATACTGTGCGCATACGTTTCTTGAATCTACAGTAGTTACCATATGGTACCTAAAATTGGAATATCCAAGTAATAAATAATAACTATTCTAACGTTTGGGCTATGAGTTACGTAGGAGTTAATTATCACTATTTCCTATCACCACAAAGAACTGTTAGAGCCAAACGTGTCAGCAAAAAGGTTATATTATAAATGGCTGGTTATTTTTTATTTCATCCCATTCATATGAAATATAGAGCAAAAGAAGTTTCTGCTGAATAAAATCTACTGCTGTATACATTTTATCCTTCTGTTGGCAGTAGTTATTGCGCATTTATTTCAATTTTATCTCCATCGAATTTTTACTACTCGCCAGTTTTATGACACTGCATTTTTGTGCTTTCAAGGTTTACGATGTGTTGTTTGTTATGCTTTGGATGTATGCAGTTTGTTATGGAACACTTGCTGTACACGTAACGTTTTGAGCTCGTGTCTTTCATATATATGCGAAACAAGATGCAAGATGAAGGAAAGCGATCGTATCAATACTCATGGTTCAAATTTAGAAGCGCTAGAGGTAAAAGTTTTGCAATATGACTTAACAAACGGACGCAGGAGGCTGCATGTTCCTGCATGCTGAGACTTGTCCATGAGTGCATAGTGAGAGTGCAGCACGTCTGTTAATTTAGTTGTTCATTCGTATTGACAGTGTAAAGTACGGACTATGGCATCGTGGTCACCTAGTGAGACAAGGGCAGTTTTACGGTATAACTTTACGCGTGGTTTAAGAATAGACCAGTATTTAGAAGAAATGGCTCTTGCATTAAAGAATGCATTATACGACCATAGTCAGATGGTACCGAGAATTCCAAAGGGGCAATTTCACTCTGGAGGACGCTGAGAGGGAAGGCACGCTGTGAACGTCAGTAACAGAGGAACAAAAGAACTTTGAACAAAGTCAATAAATAAAGCTGAATTGCAAAACCTTTATTAAATAGTACCATTTGAATTTGCTGGGGTGGCTCAGGATTTTTGCACTCCTAGGAAGCACTATGATTGAAACGAATATGATATGTAGATTTCAAGGAAGGTAAACTTAACATGAATAATATGGTGGTTTTAACTACTACTACTAACTACTAAGTGTTATTTACTCTGTTCAATGTATATGCGAAAAAATCCAAAACTTTATGATAACAGCTATGAAGGTTTTAGGGCCGTATCGTCAGTAGTTCCTACAATGGTAGAACGCTTTTATGGCCTCATTGATTTTCATAGTCTTTTCTCTCCTTCAGAAAAGCAGGGGTATTTCTAGATTTCTACAGATCTATGTCAGCGTCAGCGTCCGCCTATTGTGAGGCTATGTTTTCTTTTGATTGTAGAATTGTAGGCTGATATAACAGATGATATAAATTAAAAGCATGGGAAATTTGATGCAAAAAGATACTTGTAACATAACCTCAAAATATAGCGCTGACACGGAACAGCAGAAAACTATGAAAATCAAGGAGTCCAATTGTATTAACGACTGACGATACAACCCTTAGTGTTCTTCAAAAAGAATAAGCCTATTGTCCGCTTGTTTGACAATTCTCAAACGTATTTCTACTACAGTGACAATGTAATTTTTGCATTTTGGGTATTTTATACCTTCTCTCTTGAAACTAGGTCACGGCCTAATTACAAACTAAATTGTATAGTACCATGTGGTAACTCAATAAATGCTAAACTTCATGTGGCATATGCATATTAGAAATTAGATTTTGAGTGTGACCAAACAGATTATGATATCTCAGTAAAACTTTAAAATTATTATTGATAAAAAAGTAAGATACTACAATTGAAGACTTAGGGGTAAACAAGTTACGCTATACGCTAATGCCAAGGTTGATGCTATTTGACATGTATCACCAATTTGATACGTAGTCATCAAATCAGATATCAAATAAGGTTTACGTTTAGCGAAAGGTGACCACCAATAACCCTCTCTTCATATGTGGTAAAAGTTATTGGACTGTGGCGAAAATATCAGGTTATTCATAAAAAAAATCGCACATCTTGGATACACCGTTTCTTATTAAAAAAATATTTGTATATTGGAAAGCATGTTTTTGATTAAACTTAATGGGGCCCTGATCCCTGAGACCCCAACCCTAGGAGAGACAACCCAAAAATTCTAACTGCAAACACATTACTTCCACTGGAAGCACGCCTAATCAGCACACGTAAACGAACAGACGCTCTACAAAGACACTGTAACTAACGATATGCACCAAGTATTCACCACCGCCGCGACGTCCTCCGCCGCGGGACCGAACCGTCGCCTTGACCTTGAACGTCGTAAGACGAGTAGAAAGGCGGGCGCGTAAGCTCGTGTCGAATGACGAGCAGCAGCAGCGTGGCAGCGAGCGACCGACTGACACTGGCCTGCTTCCCATGCTCAGCTGCTGCTACCCTTCCTTCCCCCGTGGGCTGAAGCTGCCGCTGCTGCTGCCTGACACGGCATCACCGCGCCGCCGCCACCGGAGACAGACAAGGCCGCGCTGCCGTTGCCGTGCTCATCTGGTAGGCAGTTTTTTGCATTTAGCTTTTCCACAATTGCACCTCGTTACCTTCATTTCCATTGTCAAATTTAATTTTACTTACAAACAGATCTACAACCCTGGATCTAAGTGGACATTTTTCTGCTAGGTCTGAGTTAATTTTATCGCTCCATCTCATACGGGGGCGACCTAGAGGTCCTTTATCAGCTGTCCTTTACCATTCGATCGTTGTTAGATCTTTGAATGTGGTCAGCCCATCTCATTCGCCGTGATTTGATTTCTTGGACAATTTCCCCATTCCCAAATAACTGCGCAACTAATTTGCTTTGTTTACATATCATGTAAATCTAGTTGAGACAAGGGACCAATGAAATTATCATCAATGCAGCACACAAATGCTCACTATGCACCTATGCACAGCCGTTTCCTTCCACTTATAGTGTCAGATGTTTCATCACACCAGAACCAAACATTGATAGCTGAAGAATCATGACGTCTAGGCAACACGTACAGCTCCGGAACAAATACACATCAAGCGTACAATAACTAGGGCTAAGTTGACATTCTGTAGAAAAACCTACATAATGACACAAAAACCTATATAAAGTCAAAAAACGGCATAATGTCACTTTTCAAGATACGTAATACACCTGCGGATGCAGCAAGGATGTACTTGGAATGTCAAATTGAAAACAGCATCATGCTAAAAATGTTCACGATAGCCTTCCAGGTACCTTGTGTCGTGATAGATTTCTTTGATAATGAGATTTATGGTAAATTGTATTGTGATTAAGTTACAGGGTACATTTTAAAAAAAACAATGCACACGAAAAGTGTCGTAGGCTATGAAAAGAAGCGATTATACTTTCGTTGCCAGCAAATATCAGGAAAACTAGAAGTAATAGAAATGACACATATATAATAGATTTCTACTAATAGCAACATATCTACCACAATTGTAATAGGTGGAATAACAATGCTTTCTGTATATCAAGTTCAACTCTTATCCATGAATGGAACACTGCTTGTAGAGCGCAAACACCGCCAAAAGAAATGATCTTAATGATGAACATATTTGGGAAGAAGTTTATCAATAACCTATTAATCTTTTATATGCACTTGGCACCAATAGGGAGAGGATTGACATTACAATACATAAAAAAAAGATCAGCACTTTTCCTAAGAAGATCAGAAGCACAGGGGATTTCCGGGTGATCACTGACCATGACAGAATTAACCTATCAACTGCTGCCAATTTAACACAACTATAGATTTTACGATATTTTTATGAATTGATATTTAAGAAAACATCTCTTCAGTACATCTGGCGAATGTGAAGCTTCTTCATGCTACTTGAAGTTTATATATGGGGCGCTAAACATTAAAATCGGATGCAATTGTATTTTAGCCCTTTGCGATCAGATTTATCTGTTTATTTTAAATCGATCATTTTATATTATAGATATTTTAAATTAGTACTAGTGAGTGTGAAGTGAGCCCTCAATAATGACATACAGTATGTTACCACCAGTATTACACAGCTGGTCATCTCAGGTAGTATAAATGGCAACACTTGTTTGATGATGCGTGCCTAATGAACAGATTCGACCTGTAAGTTGACCCCATATTTTCCGATTTGGTAAATCACACAAATCAGAAACCGTTTGGAATGGGAACAATTGATTGTCGTATCCGAATCAGGTCATTTACACTCTTTATGATGCCTATGCTATGTAAAACTGGTAGTAACATACTGTATGGTTGCCACCCAGGAGGATATGCTCTTTCCAATGTATGTGTACCAATGTCTCATTATTTGATGAAATTCAGCAAAATACCTTAATTTCATTGCTGATAAAGATCCTAAATCATAGGCAACCAGTAATTATCGCGGTAAGATCAGAATCCCAACAGGAGCCAAATAAATTAACTATGATTTGGTGGTTGTCCCAGCAAACCAGTAGGCCGCAAAGAGTTATGGAGTGCAGCGAGTTAAAAATCACAATAATGAACAATAAAACTGAATGTACCTACACACGCTTTTGTTAATGGACTACAAATACTCAAACTTTCGAGAATACGTATGACACCTTATCCCGATTTACTTTTTTGTCTTTTTTCAGAAGAACTTTAACATCACATATAGACAGAAATGACTAACTTACCACTGACACTAGTATGAACTTACCTGTAACAAAATAATATAAATTAATATTAACAGATAATGTAAAATGTATTACAAACGAAAAAAAATTACCCAACAGAAAGTTTTGTTAAACCAAATATAGCGAGCGCATAGCTGAAGAATTATGTTAACCTCATTTGGCACTTACTACACATGCATAATTGACTTAAATATCAAGGTTGCATTTCTAATTACAAAAACTCTCTCTTAACACACTTTGAAACAGTTATGACTGATTATTTATTTTCGACAACATTATACTTAATTATGGGATAGTAAAGTGAAAATGATTCCACCGTATTGCGCTAAGGGCCGTATCTTCAGTCGTTCCTACAGTCTTGTAGGTCGCCTTTATGGCCTACTTGATTTTCATAGTTTTCTACTGTCCCGTGTCAGCTCTCTACTTTGAGGTTATGTCACAAATTAATATCTAGCTGCATCAAATTGTTTATGCTTTTGATTTATATCATCTGAAATCTAGAAATATTTCAGCCTTTCTGAAAGAGAGAAAAAATTATGGAAATCAAGGAGACCACAACGGCGTCCTACAATAAATTTGTAGGAACGACTGACGATACGGCCCTGAAATGTTCTCAATTATAACGACTGGAATCTGACAACATCCCCTACTGACGACAACATGCTTCCATATGACCGCCGATAGTAATATTCTCAGATACTCAGACAAATTCCTGATCCCATCAGTTAATACCTGAATATGCTGATAAAATCTTATTCGCGGGCCACAAAGACAGCTTACGTAATGGATTTCTCAAGAAATTCCGTCGAATCGCCTCAAGCCTGCCGGATTAAAGTCGCTTTGCTGCAACTGAAATTAATACAGCTATATTCTGCATAGGGTAGCTTACCATGCACTTTAAGATTTTAATTGTTCGTGCGATAGAATCTTTCAGCAAACCATGATGAAAAGCCTTGCAATATCTACAGGGTGATTCACAAGTCGTGACCAAAAATGAAACGTCATACACAGGGCCGGGTTTTAAGGGGGGTCTTCTGTGTAACATTTTTTTCCTCTAGGGCTTGATTGAAAAGATGCGGGATGTTGAAGTTTAAGAATAAAAAAAAAGTTTTTTTAATATCTTGAAAACCGTCAAACGGAATTTGGTATTTTACTTTTAATTTACTACAAATAATAGCCCGTATTTATAAAAATGAAGCATTTACTCTGAAGTAAAAGGTACAAGCAAAAGATAGAAGTAAAAGGTTTTGCTCTAATTCGTATTCATAATCTCTACCTCTTCCTTGTAAGCAAATGCTTGGGGAAAATAAAGTAAAAGGTACGAAGATTAGCGATTTCGACAAGATATGACTTGCAGCGTGCAATCAACGCGTATGTGGTCTGTAACTGATGGGGTTGATCTTATTTGTCTCATAATTAAAAGCAGTTCGCACGTCAATTGGTGTAAAGAAGATCCATCTAACTTATTTGTGCAACTATTTTAAAGTGAATAAAATATTTAAAATGTCTGACACCGCTAGTGAACAGGAAGTTACCGAAGATGCCCCTAACGAGATGATGTCTATCGCTGAAAAAGTCCAAGCACTTCCGGAGATTCTCGAGAAATCTCAAGTTCCAGCGATGAAAAAGAAGAAATACGTTACTTTATTTGGCAAGGAGATGGATATTAAAGCTTTTATGAAAAAAGTTAACAATATGAAAACGCGATTGAAAAATAAAACTGACAAAAATAAAACAGGGAACAAGTCCATTCGTTTTTTGTCCTGGGAGAAAGTTATGTTAAAGGCTATGGATGCGGACATAAATCCTGTACTAAGTCGGGTACCAGGTGAGAAATAGATTCAGGTCTTTACTATTACCTTGTAGGTACTTATTATGCATGTATATTTTTATTAAGGGCTCGTGCAATTGGCGTGGCAAGTCAACCTTCTTTACCTACTTCAAAGGATGACATTATGGTGGAAAACAACGCTCATCAGATGATTATGCCTCAAGTAGTAGCTAACAAAAAGCGATCCTACACATCGGTTGAAGAGGCTGCTGCAAAAAAAATACTTCCGAAGCCTACCTTTGCTTTGGGCAAACAAGAATCTGACGAGACGAGGGAGTTAACGACAACCCAGCTTCAACGATTAGTTTTAGTTGAATAACTGAAAGTTGCTCGTCTCCAACAACAATATTACTCTGCCAAGCTAAAAAATTTAAACGAGGCATCAAACGAAAAAGCCCCGCAAGAGTATGATGTTGGAGATAATATTTACCAAAACTTGTAAATAGACGTATATGTAATATATATCATTTATAACAAAAAAAATAATTAAACGTTTTTTTCCAGTTCAAACGTGTAAGTTTATTTTTAGTTTAAGTAAAGACATCTTTGTACGTTTGAAGTAAACGACATATACATAGCATTATATGAAAGTTTTAATCCTAATTATATACCTATATTGTTATTGGTAATAAGACGAGCTAATTCCTCTCCTCGCCTTTGTCCTTGTGCGCGAATAGCATCTACAGGTACATTTTCATTCTCTACAAATGGCAAGTCCTGTTCTTCATCTTCGTCATTTTCTTGAAAATCATCTCTTAATTGCTTAGCTATATTGTGCAACACAGCACACGCAATTATAACTTTTGGAATACTGGTCAGTTTTACTCTGCATCCATACTTCAGGATAGGGAGTCGCCGCTTTACTTGCCCAAATGTATGCTCAATCACAACTCGCTCTG